GGAATTAATCTGTAGCATATCTTACCATCCATTTGCTCAGCCTCTTGTGTCTTAAGCAGTGTTTGACATGGCAAGATATAGTAGATGTTCGTTTCAGGACTGGAGACTGAAGGACCAAGTGACTAATTTGGAAGCACTGTACTTGTCTCCACTGATTTAATTTTGTTCATGGCCAGACAGTTTAAGGTTGTACTTTAACTGTACTTTTTTTTAGCACATTGTATAAAAACAGTTCTTTGTCACTGCATACTGGTCTTTAGAGTAAATATCACCTGCCACAAAAAGGGGTCATTGTAGTACCCTGGGGCTCACTTTATTCTGTGACCTTATTGCTGTGTGTAAGAATGAGGTAAAGAGAATATACATGTCTTTCAAAGTGTGACATATCCTCTCACATACACCGTCCAGTGTGGGGCAGTTACAGCCAGTCACGTACACTGTTCCAAGTGTGAGAGTTACAATCATCAGTTTTTCCGAGTGGTCTGAGTTGGCCCAGTGGTAGAGGCGGAGCCTGGGAGTGGCTCTGAGGCTCCAGCAGCCCCCCTGCTGTTGGCATTATCATTTCTCGTCAGCATTAGCCAGTACCAAGTGCTCAACCCTGAAACCACACACATGTAGGCGAGACTGAATGGACTTAGTGGGTTGTATTTGTATATGTATGTGTCTATACATGTATGCAACAGTAATGTTTAAAGAAATAGCAGCAATGAATTGGAGAGGGAATAGGGTGCGCATGGGATCTGTTAGAAAGAAGACGGAAGGGAGGAAATGATGTAATTACATTTTAATTCTGAAAATTGTAAATAAGCACTTTAGGCCACTGGAAGCTGCCTGCAGTCCCTCTTGCACTTGCCACGTGAGGCATCTCAGGTGCTGAGGGAGAATTGATGATTATCAATAGAGATACTGCTGTCACATGCGGCTTTATGAATATAAGCTACACATTGAAGGCGACCAGGTCTGGAACAGGGCCACATGTGGTCATAACCCCAGTGCTTGGGGGCAAGAGATAGGTGGATCTTTGGAGCCCAACAGCTGGCCACTCTAGTCAAATCTGTGAGCTCATACTGAGCGACAGATCTTACACACATACATACATACATATGGGAGACGTGCCAACCAGTACAGGGCTAATAAATGGGATAGAGAGTCTCAACAGAGTAGATCCAAATGCTCAATAAATATGGGAAAAGGTGTTCAACCTCCTTAGCCGTCAGAAAATGAAGACCAGCCAGAATGGCTGTCATTGAGGCAGCAAACAGTAACAAGTCCTAATGAGGAAAAAAGCCTTATCTGCTCCCGGTGGGAGTGAAAACTGCTGCCCCCAGAAACCAGCAAGTGGGGGGTCTCCAAACAACAACCTGAGCTATCATACGACGGCACTGTTCACTCTTGAGGACAGAACCAGGGACAAAGTCAGCACTACACAGAGACTTGCACGTTCTTGCTTATTGCTGCAGCATTTACAATAGTCAGGAATCCCATCCCCTCCTCCCCGTGCCCACCCCATCCCCTCCTCCCCATGCCCACCCCATCCCCTCCTCCATGTGCCCACCCCTTTACTTAGGAGGAAGCCCTCACTCTGCTTCCTGCTCTCTTACTTAACAGTGGCACAGTCCGGCAACCTGCCTTCTCTAGTGCACCAGTGACTCTCCGCGTCCCTCGCCACACTCCCCACCAGAATGTGAGAAGGAGCCTCTCCCCCCAGGGCCCACCCATCCCTCTCTATCTTATCCCTCAGACTGCCCTTGAGAGGCTCCTGTCACTCTCCCCCCTTGTCCTTGGCTTCCAGTTCGCATTATTCCCGAAGACAAGCAGACCCTCTGACCCGTGCTCTCGCCACCCTGCCTTTACTGCTGTCTCATGGTTGCTGGGGCCCCATGTTTACACGACAAGCACATGGCCCGCTTTCTGTAGTTCTTTATGCATCCTAAACCCAGCCCCGTCTGCTGGGTTGTTAGGGTTATCTGTCCCGTTCTGCAGGCCACCTCTGCACTCTGCCAGCTGTTCGTTTGCCAGGCCGAGCGTTTGAGCTTCATGTAACCCCACTTGTCACTTGGGGGCTTGTTCCCGGTACTTCTGAGAGTGTCTAGTACATCCTGAATGTGTCTGCCAGCACATTCAGGTTTCTGTAATCCGCGGTTCCAAGTGTGGGTCCATTACTGTAGCCCCATCTCACATCAAGGAAACATCAGAAGTAATCACAAAACACAAATACCCACACATTTTATCAGGACATAAAATATTTAAATTGAGTGTTTACTGTGAAAAGGGCACCACTCAGTTCTAGGAAACCTGAGGGAATTCTTTTCCTCCATGCCCCGTTCTTGTAAGGCTTTTAAAGATCATTAAGATGGAGTTTGGATGGAGAGATGGTTTCTCCTTTCTGGGAAAACACATTCGTCTTTAGCAAGCGCAGGCAGCATGGTTGCTCCGCCACTAATTGTCCCCTTTCCCATGTATGTCAGTGGCCTGCAAGGCTCCTGAGTCAGGGCTGAGCTCCGGGGCACAGGTTACTCTGTATCTATGCTGCCCAGGTGTGTATTTAAGGCAGAGGCCTTCTTCTGCCTAAAGACCTGGGTCCTCTACTGTGACCTTTCCAGGGATAATTCGATGCTCACGAATAATTTGAAGTCTGTTATCTAAGTCAGTTCCTCGTTTCCACTATCCCTTGCCCAACCATTCAAAGGGAGCTTGGCCTTTGGACGGACACAGCCATCAGCAGGTCAATTGTGAATGCTTCTGGAAGCCACTGGGACAGCACCCACACTGAGGTTCTAGCCTGGATTCCTCTGGTCTACCAGCAATAGTAACAACATGGGCTGGAGGGGGAAGGCTTCTTCTTTGTTATTTATATATTTTTGGAAGAATAATTCTGTTTTTATTGGTAATAAATAAATCAATTCTCATTGTTAGGACGGTGTCTCTCTGGATGTTGCCTGGCTTGCAAGTCTTGCACGTTGTTAAGGGAGCATAGCTGGGCCCTGCAGAACAGGATTTGCCATTGATTGCTTGAGCACCAGTCCCGAGGTGCTCCTAACTCCTACATGTTGGACTCTCTAGGACAGGAGAGTTTAATAAACAGTATGGGAAGAGGGAGTGTGGATTCCTTGGTAACCCACAACACAACATTCCCTGCGAGTAGTAGACTTGACGTTCATTTAGCGCAAGTTGTAAGTGCTAAGTCAAATGGAGAGCAGAGAGAGGAGGAGGGAGAGGAGGAGGAGGGAGTGTTTCTAAATCCATTCCAAGGTGAAGATCCAGAAACCAATTACAGGCAAAAGTTGTTTTTATTTTTCTCCAAATGCTTGAAATTGTCCATGGAGCTGAAGGCAGTCGGTCCTGCAGACATGAGCAGGCAGTGTGTCTTTTGCACACACTAGTGTGAGAAGTGATGTGCCAGGTCCTGAGTGGTTCATGCTCGAAGAGGAGTGATAAAGCCAGGTCAATGAGAAAAGCAGGAGAACATCTGTTAGCAGATGTTGGACTCTGAACTGTTCCGTAGTGACGGAAGGAGCCACAGGCCGGGGCCATTCTGTGCTGCTGTGGTGCCAAACCTTGTCACACACTTGACTCCACACTGGATGCGTGTGAAGATGATTGTGTTTGATAATTAATTCATCAATTAAACTTGAGACGTTCTTCCACTGGACACATAGGCTGGCCTCGAACTTACAATCCTCCTGCACCAGCCTCCCTGGGCACATACTGCCACACCAAGCCAACTTGCTTTTTAATTCAGGCTCACCGAATTGCTTAGATACAGTTCTTTTGAGCACACTAATCTAAGCCTTTATAGCTTTCGAATCCTCTAATGAACTGATAATGATTTAATAGTTCCACTTGCAGAGAGTCTTAGGAAAAGATAGAAACGGGAGGTGAAGAGTAAGTGAGAAATCCCGCAATGCTCCTTCAATAATGAAGGTTGGCCGGGCAGTGGTGGTGCACGCCATTAGCCTCAGCACCTGGGAGCCAGAGGCAGGTGGATCTCTGTGAGTTCGGGGCCAGCCTGGTCTACAAAGTGAATTCCAGGACAACCTGGACTGTTATACAGAGAAATTCTGTCTTGGTAAAGAAGGGGGGGATTAAAAAAGACCTGGAACATTCTTCATTTTTGGAGGAACCTCATGCAGTACCTAAGCCCTTCCTCAGCCATGGCCCACACACAGTGAGCACACACTGGCAGAGTGTTGAAATCTAACTGTTTATTCTGCAAGCCACAGTGTGCCATGGGACCGGACTTGGTACTGTAGTAGAAGTGGCTCACAGGACACACTGGGAACGAGGGATGGGTTTATGGGGACACTGAAAAGGAGGCTCACAGCATCTGAACTTGGGAGCGGCATAGGGGCTGTTTTTGACTCTGTCTGGGCTCACACAGGGTTCAGTCAGTTTCTGGGGCAGCTATACCTGCAGGCAGACTTAGACAGTTTGCAGGACCCAAAATGAAGACACTTGCAAAGTGTTGCTTATTTCAGAGAAAGGATACACTAGTGAGTGAAACGTCATGCCTGCTGGGCCTAGAGAGGTGGCCGGAGCTTCGGCAGCTCACAAGCCACTCTAGACCCTGTGGCCCGGCTGGGGTGCTGGTGTTGCAGGGCCTTGCTGTTTCAGGGAAGTGACCAGCCCCTTGCATGCCTGCTGAGATCTCTCCTCAGAGCTCATGAACTAAGGGGTCTGTGGTACTTTTCTAGGGCTTGCAACTTATGCCCCCTGCAGCTTCTTAGCCCATCAGCTTCGTCTGTAGAGTTGACTGTGCCTATGTGACCATGTTTCCATTTTAGAATCTTGAAACGTAATCTGCACCAACGGTTGCGGTGATATTTAATCTCCCCCAAATTTATTCTCTCAATTCGTTATGTTTAACCTTTACAAGACTCTCAGACTTCCTACAAGGAAGCCATGCTGAAGTGTGTCAGGAGTGAATGTGTGTGCTGTGTCTCTGTCTCGGTGCACCTTCCGAATGCTAACTGTTTCTCTCCTTGCTTCTCCATCCCCAGATGAATCGGCTCCTAAGGAAGTCAGCAGGGTGAGTAACTGGATGCAGTTTCTACAGCACTGCCCCAGGACTGCAAACATCACGTCCCCTCCTCTAAATGCCCGTGTTCTCTTAGCGTCGGGGTGAGAAGAACATAGCAGAAACTCTGTAGCTTTCAAGGGTGTCCCCAGAGCAGTCAGGGCAGAAAGACACTCCACACAGCAGCTCCGGGCTGAACACCCAGATTAACTCCATGGGTACCTGCACATCTGGAGTTGTGCCAAGGCTGGGCCATTAGCGCCGAGAGCCTGCAGGGAGAGCCCAGGTTTGCAGAGTCTCCAGAGTAACCAGTGAAGCAGCATTTGCCAGGCATCCTCACGTGGAGAATGAGGATGTCACCTAAGCCCTACCTATAGGGGCCACCCTCAAGCCATCTCCTTTGCAGGACATCACAGGTATCTCCCTCTTGAACCTTACCTGTGAATATCCCTGGGTCTCACCTCAGTCACCTTGCTTATGGAGGAACCAAGGCCAATGACTATGGTGAAAACTATCGCTCAGCACCCCGAGACATTCAGTGCTGTTAGCATCTAGAGTAAATGGTTACGGGATCCAGCCAACACAGGGAGATGGGCAGGTGGGCTGGGGACAGCTCAGACAGTGAAGCACTTTTGTTACAGGCATGAGGACTTGGGTTTTGATCCCCAGTGCCCGTCTTAAAAGGCAGAGGTGGCAGGCAGTGCACATCTGTAAGCCTGGTGACAGGGGCATTTGGGGGACCCAGGGTTATCCATATGCTTATTACCAGCCACTTTCCTGTCTTTTCTGTTGCACGATGGGCTCTTAGAAGTCCTGAGACAGGCAGTGGTGGTGTACGCCTTTACTCCCAGCATTCAGGAGGCAGAGGCAGGTGGATCTCTGTGAGTTCAAGGCCAGCTTGGTCTACAGAGTGAGTTCTAGGACAGCCAAGGCTACACAAAGGAAACCCTGTCTCGAAAAAAAAAAACAGAAACAAACAAAAAGACAAAAAGAAAAAAGAACAGAAAAAAAAGAAAGAAGCTCTGACTAGAATAGGGAGAGACAGCATCAATATGAAAAGCGATCACAACCCTCAGTTTCTGGAATGTGCCACTCTGTGGGCATGCCTGAGGCTCCTGGGCACCCACTGCTGCAGCTATGTGCCCTTGTGCTCTCAGAAGTGTGATTGGGACAGGAATGGAGTCCATTTTCAAGTTGTCTTTTATAATATTGTCCCCCACCCAGCCCCCAAGTATTTATAAAGGCTGCTTCTTGCTCTTGGAATGCATGGTGTCCATTAGGGTCTTGGTATAAATGCTTTGTTTTTACTAAGCCAGCCTAGTGTGGGGAGCATCACACTTAGCCTGATGTGGGGAGTGTCACGCTCAGCCCTGTGTGGGGAGCTTCATGCTCAGCCTGATGTGGGGAGCATCACATTTAGCCTGATGTGGGTAGTGTCATGTTTAGCCTGGTGTGGGGAGCATAGCACTTAGTTGAAACCCCTCTGTTTGGAGTGTTCTCTCTAGTGTTTATTGGCACATCAGCCCCTCACATTTGTTGTGTCCTCTCTGTGATGATCTTCAGCACTCCCTAGACCCCCAGGGCCGTGCCCTGCTAACTGTGAGTTCTGTAGCAGGCTGCCCACGGTCCTGGTTCTGCTCCTACTTTGGCTCACATCGGACCATCACAATTAAAATTGCGTCTGTGTTTTTGCCCGTGTGATTAACCCATTGATGATCATTCATTGGATTTGAGTTCTCTGAGAAAACAAAACAGATACTTCCCTAACACCCACTTCCTGTAGGTCCTTCCTCACACGAAAGTTAGCTTTTGTGCCATGTGTGCTGAGACGCTGCTCACACTGTAGTAGGTGGACAGACCTTCACAAAACCTGTTAAATGTAGTTGCAGATTTTGGCGGTCATGGTTTCATTTCTTTTTTAACTGACGGTTAGAAATGGCTGGCTAGTGTCCCCACACCTCTGAGCTGTTCATGTCTGTATCTCACAGACTCTTCTGACAGATGAGAGGGTGAGTGACATCACCTTCAAAGTTAAGTGGTCAGGGGCCTTGAGGAGACAGGGCTGGGAATGGTCCCCTGACAGTCGCACCGCCAGGTTTATCCTGGGCGGGTGGGACAGGTTGCCTTTCTGGAGTCCAGATCCCATCCTCTGACCTTCACTCACCCTGGTGACGGCGGTGCCTCTATTGCTTCCACTTAGCATCTTGGTGTACTCGCCGTCAGCCCCAGTATGGGCCACACCAGGCTCTCTCCGTGTTAAGTGGGATCCCATGTCGACCTTCTCGGGATATTGTTACTGACTTTATGAGCCATCCTTTTGGAAGAAGAATTTTAAGTAAGTCTTAAGTGGTCTTTTTCAGCTTAGCTGTGTTGGTCTTGAAACTTTGGCAAAGTTGTCTTTAGATTTACGGGTGCAGCAGCCAGAGTCACCCACGCTCACCACGGCTTCAGCTCCCTCCCTGTCTTGAACTTTGTGTGATTTAGTTAAGAAAGAGAAGGCCACCTGAGGACAACTTTAAACTAATCAGTTTTCATGGGTATCCAGCTTTCCTCCCCCCTCTCCTCTGTATGAATGAAATGCCCATACCATCATTTGGACTTTCTGAATGACCTGTCTCTGATACCCGTGATCACACAGCTGTGTGTCATTGTTGTGCCGTGTGCTGTCCTCAGGTCTGTTCTAGCGAGTGGATGCTCTGCAGAGAGGGGAGAGGCTACAGCTGCTGCTGCTCTTCCCAGAGGGACTGGAACACAGCAGGTGTATCAATGGCGAGGAGTTCCCATGCACAGGAAGGGTTGGTGGCAGGGAGGGAGCACCCGGAGGAGGACCAGTCCAGGTACAGCGAGTGTGCCTGGGTGACCTCTAATATGAGAAGAAGGCTCCAACAGGCTGAAATCAGTCGTGCCAAGAATGGAATTAAGATTGGGCTGTATAGAGACAAATTCTTTTGTTGAATTTATAGCATTCCAATGCTTAGGTTGTGAGATGGAGACACAGCCGTGGGATTGGGACCGCCCTCCCTACATCCCTGACCGGAAAGCAGCGCTGCTGTATTTTACACAGAAGCAAGTGTCCTGCGGGGCGGAGCTTCTTTCCTTTGGGGAATAATTTTTGACTTCACACGAATGATTCTTGCTTTGGCATTTACGGCCTTCACATTTCTTTCTTACTCTGTAGTATTTTTTCCTTAAACTTTAACCTTTTTAGGTGGGGAATATAGACCTGAGGTGATGGGGTAGAAGGGGCAAGAAGCACACCCTGTTCCTAGTGGAGGCTGTTCTTTCAAGTGTCCTCTCTCCCTGAACGCGAGACTGGCCTCTGTAGAAACCCCCACCCCAGTGGTCACCTGATCGGCTGCCGAAGGGAGTCCGCAGAAACCTTGACACCTTCTGACCCTCTAACTGGAGCCTGTACATGGCTGCGAGCCACTGTGCGGGTGTGGGAAGTTGAACCTGGGTCCTCTAGAAGTGCAGCAAGTGCTCCCTCCAGCCCCTTAGGAGAGGTGTTCTAATGGCTTGGCAGGAAACCTAGTTCTTACTGAACATAGAAAGCTGAGGAAGCAGGAAGGCAAAGCTGTCAAGACTCAGAGCTTCTCTGTGAATGAGTAGCAAATGGGGTTGTGTGTCTAGGTGGATGTGAACCGAAGTGGACTTCCTCGGTGTCCCCACGGAGAGGTACAAGCCCCCTTTCAGGGTAAAGTTCTATTAGTATTGAATTTCATAAAAGTCCAAATGTAAGTTAATGTTGTGAATTTCATGCTTTGCTCAGCCAATTCCAAGGCAGAGCATTAAAGCATGGCTCGTTTTTCAAGAGTGACAGTGGTCACACAGGAGCTGGACTCAGGAGGAAAGGGGAGGACCTGGAGTAAATATGTCTCCTTCCTCCAGCCATTTACCACAGCTGGCACGACATACCCAAGGGGAGAAGTGAGGGCATGCATGCAATCCCAGCACATGAGAGACAGGAGCAGGAGGCTAGGGATTTCAGAGTCAGCCTCTGCCGCATAGTGAGTCTGATGTCACATGGACAGCCTTGGAAGCTATCTCAAAGTAACCAAAAAATAATCCAAAAAAACAAAAGCAAACAGACAAAACTCCCAAACAACAGAAAAGAACAAAGTGAGGACATGCGGAGAATGAGAAAGCATATCCTTCGAAATCTAAGTAAAGGCAATCACCTATAAAACCTACAGCCTGAAGGGTGTGCTAGTGTAAATACATATCAGGCATACTGTGTGTGTGCGTGTGTGTGTACATGAGTGTGCTTATGTGAATGTATGTATGCATAGTCATGGGTCTGTATCTGCATTTTCTGGTGTGTAGTTTGCCTGTGAGTGTGTGTGTGTGTGTGTGTTGGTGGGGGGGCATTAGCTGTGAGGTAGCTTCACATGATTCGAGATAATACTTATGGGCAAGTGTGTGGAAGGCCAGCAGAGACACTGTCACTTTGATAATTAACAGATCCTTCAAATTTGGAAAGTGTATCAGTAACCCCTCCCCCATTACGTGACAAGATACCTGGAATAGAAGCCTCCACGAAGGAAGGGCCTGATTTGGCTCACAGCTTGGGGGATGGCAGCAGTCCATCCTGTCAGGAGAGACATGGCAGTAGCAGCCCCTGTAGCTGTCCCGTTGCAGTTGAGATCAGGGAGCAGAGAAAAGAGGGCGGATGCTCTGGAGGCCAGGACCCCACCCCATGGAGTGTTTCTGTCTCCGGGCAAGGTAGGCTTGTAATTGGTTGGTTCTCTTTTACTTTTGACTCTTTGCTCTTTGAGACCAGCCACCCAGCTCCTAAATAAACACACAGAGGTTTTTTCTTACTTATGAATGCCTGGCCTTAGATTGTCTTGTTTCTAGGCAGCGTTTCTAGCTTAAATTAGCCCATCTACCTATTGCCTCTGTGTTTTTACTGTTTTCTATTTCTGTATAGCTTTCTTTACTTCTTACTCCATGCCTGACTGTGTGGCTGGGTAGCTGGCCCCTCTCCTTATTCCTCTCGCTCCTTGATCTTT